AGGGGGAAAAAGGTAAAAAGTGAGAGGTGATATTATTCAATTAAGTCCCATGAAAAGCTGACCTGAAACAGAAATGCCCATACCTGTTTCGCCACCTGTCCACTTGTCGGTAAGCTGAGCCTCTGCATTTCCCCTTCAGTGCAGGGCAGGTATTTATTCAAGCCTTTTGAGGAAAAAAAAGTACTTGAGAGACTTAGCAAAGAAGTGAGAGCAACTCAGCAGCTTTAAAAAATAACAAGAATCTCTCAGTTTCATTCTCTGCTTCTCGGAAAACTCACTGCTCTTCATTTATTTTTTCAAGTTACCCTTGCCATTCTTTTCTTTTCTTCATGACATAATAATCAAGCAGCGTGCTGTTAACAGCTCTGCTTATAATTGTTGACTTAAAATGTCTTGTAAGCCGTGAGTAGGACCTGCACTCCCCACCTCTGCCTACCACGAAAAGCGGATTCCCCTACGAGATGCAGTAATGTGCCTGGGACATTGCAGATGGAGCCCCCGGCGTTCAGGTCCATGGCAGTCCCCGGCTCTCTTCTTCCCATTATTCGCATGCTGTACACCTGTGACAAGTTGGCAATTTCTGAGTGATAATGCAGAAATTTGCAAATTCCAGTTTGTCCCTCTGCTAAGCAGAGCTGTGCTAGATTTTGCTAAATAAAGAAACAAACAGCTCTCTCAGCCAAGAATCTCAGACAACGTATTGGCGGGGGTGGGGGTGGAAGCTGTGAACCTTAGAAACAGCTGGGAGTAAGTGACGCTCTCCAACTTTGACAAACTTGCCATAGAAACTTCAAGACACTGTGGTCTGACTTACATGTGCATTTTCAGTTAAGTTTAAGTTCCAGGGTCTTTGGACAGAATAATGAATTTTTTAAATATAATTTTAAACCATTCTAACTAGACGACATGTACATTTCTTACAAGGAGCAAACAGTTGTTCTAAGCATTGTAACTCTTAAAGATAAACAAGAAAGCTTTAGTAAATTCTGTTCCTCCTTCTGGGAAGGGGTACTCAATCATTTTTCACTTGTAAGGATCAAAGAGAGTTGAGTATATTATTTACCCCTTATTGTTTTGTTAGGAGGACATGTAGAAATAAAAACAAATGACTGAGAAGCCAACTTGCTCAAGGTTGACACCCATGCCCAGGATATCTTTAGGGAAGACACAAATATGACCAATAATCTCCATCTAGAGGTCAGAGACTTTGTGAGTATGAATGTGTTTGATGTCCATCTGCTCACCACTGTGTTCCTAGTGCCTAAAAAGCTGGCACTTATGAGATGCTTAATACCTATTTGCTAAATGGATCAGTGAATGATTGAGTTATGAATTTAGTGGTTACATAAAGGAAGTGAACTTCACACAGAAAACTATTTATCTGTTAATGTCACTAGAGTCAAAGATTAATAAAATTTATTTTACGTAAGTTTTTCCCTCTAAGTTCTATCAGATTAATGAAATTTATTTCATGTGTTTTCCTCTACATTCTGTCAGATTAATGAACTTTGTTTCATATAAGTTTATTTCCCCCTAAATTCTATCAGAGGCACATTTTGAGTGCCTTCATTGTGAGAAGAAATAAACTAAGCATTGCTGATAGTGAGATAAATAAAGAGTCTGGGAGGCAGTAGGTGATTATGGAAGTGGTATATATTTTGAAAGAGGAAGAAGCAAAGCAATACCATTTACTAGCTTAGTGAACTTGGGCAAATTACCTACAATCCCTGAGCTTTAGTTGCCTCTTCTGTAAAATGGGGAGAAATAATTGTAGCATAAGACTATTTTGTGATGATTGAATGAGATTAGGCAATGTCAAGTTCCTGGTACATGGTAAATGCTCACTGAGTGTTGGTCTTTTTGTTTCCCTGCTCCTTTAGACCTTGCAATCTAATTCTACTATTTTAGATGAATACACTAAATATAACCCAAAAGGGGAAAATCTTGGAAGATTTAAAGAGGAACACAGAATTACTTCTTTTGTAAAGAAAAAATTCATGAAAGAATGACTCCTTTTGTTCTTTTTGTCCTGCCTCTTGCCTGTGCTCATGTTGTTCTACCTGTCTGGAACACCTTCCTTTCTTTTATTCAATTATCTAAATTTTATTCTATCATCTAATTTCTAAGCCATCAGACCTTAGGAACAGGGCTTCAGAGCTTACAAGTGGGCTCTTGCATTGTTTGGTGAACCTTAAAACATAAATATTTTCTGTTTTATGGTACTCTATCAGTTGTCTTTTGCTGCATAAAAAATAGCCTCAAACTTTAGTATCTTGAAATAACAGCAATTTATTGCTTCCCACAGTCAGTGGTTTGGCTGGATGGCATCCTTTCTTGTTTAGCCTGGATTCACTCATGTGAATGCAGTTAGCTGGAGAGTTGGCTGGGCTGAAATTTCCAAGAAGACCTCACTCACTTCTTAATGCTGTTTTCTACAGTACTTTGATTCTCCTTCATGTGGCCTTTTATCCTCTGGTAGACAAGGCCGGTTTCCTTCTATGGTGGTATGAAGGCAGGGTCTCCAACTGGGTAAACATGGAAGCTGCATGGTCTTTTAAGGATAAGCCTCCACAACTTGCACAAAGTTGTTTCTACCATGTTCTATTAGACATAGCAAGTTACAAGACCAACCCAGATTCAAAGGGGTAGAAAAATAAATTTTACTTCTGGATAGGAGGCATGCCAATGTCACATTGCCGAAGGTTGTACATATTGGAATGGGAAGTATTCCTGGTCATTAAATAATCATCTTCAGGTGCTTTTTTGCTATTATAGCTATACCTCTTTTGCTATTGGGTATTTGTGTCTAAGTTCTCTTTGGATTGTTTTTTTCCCTCTGATCTGCTTTTGAAGGCCTGCCCTTATTAGTTGTCTAGTTTCAAAGACCTCTGTAGTCACCAAGTTCCTATTCTGAGGTTTTGCCTTAGAGTCATTAAGGTACTCTTCTAAACAGAGGATTGTCAAATCTTGTTTCATACTTTCTTCTTTTATTATGCAATATCCACAAGAAGAAGGAACAGTAGAGAATTATTTTCATGGTAGGAAGTGTGCCACCTATTTTAGAAAGGAGAAAGATAAAAGTTAAGTACTATTGGTTTCAAATGATAATTTAAAAAATACTCAGCAAACCACCATGGCACACATTTTCCTGTGTAACAAACCCGTATGTCCTGCACACGTATCCCAGAATTTAATAAAATAAAATAAAACAGTATAGACCCAACAAAATATACATAGAATGTATATGTAGAAAACTCTAAAAATCTAAGGAAAGAATCAAAACAATTTTAAATAAATGAAGAAATATTCCATCTTCATGGATTGGAATACTCAATATTGTTAAAATGTCAATTTCCCAACTTTCTGTAGAGTCAATATAATCCCAATGAAAATCTCAACAAGATAATTTGAGGATATCAACAAAGTTACTCTAAAATTTTTATGGAAAGGTAAAATATCAAAATAGCCAACATAATACTGAAGAAGAACACAGTTGAATGAGTAACAGTACTCATTGAAACTTACTAAAAAATTGCAGTAATCAAGACAGGCTAAGATATCAAAATAATAGGCAAAAATCAATGGAACAGAATACAAAGCTCATAAATAGACCAACACAGTATCTTTGATAAAGGAAAACTGGCAATTCAATGAAAAAAAAATAGTCTTTTCAATAAATGTTGCTAGAACAATTGTATGCCCATATGCAAAAGAAAAAAATCTAGACATAGACCTCACACCTTCATAAAAGCTCAAAATCAATCATAATCCTACATATAAGACACAATATTGTAAAATCTCTAGAAAAAATGTAGGAGGCAATCTATATGACTTTAGGTTTGGCAAGGAGTTTTTAGGTACAACACCAAAAGCATAATCTATGAAAGAAAAAAATGATAAAATACGCCTTTTGATTTTTTGCTCTGATATGACATTGTTAAGAGAACAAAAAGGCAAGTCACACTCTGGGAGGAAATATTTTCAAAACAAATATTTGATAAAGCAGTTGTATTCATAATACACAAAGAACTCTTAACAATAAGAAAATAACCCAAAAAAGAAATGGGCAAAATATCTGAAGAGATATCTCACCAAGGAAGATATACAGATGTCAAATAATCATATAAGAATGCTCAATATCTTTTGTTATGAGGAAATTAGATGCTAAATTTTGTCAAATGATTTTTCTTTATCTATTTTAATAATCATTTTTGTCTGTTATTATGATGGATTATATTGATTAGCTTTTGAATGTTGAACCAGTTCTTCATTAGTGAGATAGACCCTATTAAGTCATGATGTATTAATATTGTTTCATGTACTGCTGTATTTTTTGTCTAATATTTTGTTGAATATTTGTATGTCCATGTTTTAGAGGGATATTGGTTTTCAATTTCTTGTTTCTTGTATTACATTTATCTGGCTTTTTTGTGACAAAATGACAAAATATTTCCTTTTCTATTTTCTGAAAAACAAATTGTATAACGCTTATATATTTCTTAAAATTTTGGCAGACTTCGTCAGTGAAGCAATTTGGTCCTAGAATTTTTTGCTACAAAGTTTTAATTATGAATAATGTTCTTTAGCTCATATAAAGCTATTCAAGTTATCTATTTCTTCTCGAATAAATTTTGTAGTTTCCGTCTTTTTAAGTACTGGGTCAATTTCATTTAAGTTGCCAAATGTATAGGCACACAAATGTTTTTATTATTTTCTTATTCTTTCAGATTTCCTTCTATTTTATTTTCTGAGGGTCTGAAATGATATCCCCCTTTTATGCTTGATATTGAAAATTGATATATCCTCACTTTTTTCTTGGTCAGTCCATCCAGATATTTTTGAATTCTATTCATCTTTTCAAGGCATCAGCTTTTGGTTTCGTTTATTTTCTCTATTTCTTTTTCTTTTTATTAATTTCAGTTATTTTTTATTGTTCCTTTTCTTTTTCTTGTGCTTTAATTTGTTTCTCTTTTTCTAGCTTATTTTAGTTTATTTTATTTAGCACTCCATAATTAATCTTTTACTGCAACAATGTACGAAGTGCATGCAATTACTACCTGCTCAATCTACACACTTAGTCTTAATGGAAATTTACAAGAATTTCATTGACTGGGTTTTCTTCCTCCTTAACCAAGTTGAGAACACTGGTAGCCCCCTGAAGGTATAACCTCCCGTTCTAGTCCCCTTAACTGACTGACTTAAACTTGATCCACTGATTGGCACCACGAACTTCAAAAGGTGGGTCGCTGGAGTAGATGCGGTAGCCCAGCTCCTCCAAAGGTGGCTCAGGATCGGCCGTGGCAAACTGGGCAGCATCCTCAATCTCCTTCTTCACTTCCACATCAATTTCCTTTAGTTCTTCCACACTGGCAAGATTGCTGTTCACCATTCTGTCCTTGAGAAGTATAATAGGGTCACTCTTACTTCTTACTTCCTGAATTTCTTCTCGTGTACGGTAACTGACTCCAGGATCACTCATACTGTGTCCGTGGTAACGATAAGTCTGCAGCTCCATCAGGATGGGCCCCTTCCCAGATCTACAATAGGCAGCAGCAAACCTTGTCACCTCTCGGACGCACAGGATATCCATTCCATCCACTCTCAGCCCAGGAATGAAATCACCTCTCTTATAGTAATCAGTGCTGGCTGCTGCTCTCTCAACAGATGTTCCCATTCCATAGCGATTATTCTCACAGATGAAAATACGAGGTAATTTCCACAAAGCTGCCATGTTGTAAGCTTCGAATATCTGGCCCTGATTAGCAGCACCATCGCCGTATAAAGTCAGCAGACCTCATCTTTTCCATTATACTTACAGGCTAGAGCAATCCCAGCGCCCAGGGGCACCTGAGCTTCCATGATGCCATTGCCCCCGTAGAAGTTCTTGGCATACATGTGCATCGATCCTCCTTTCCCTTTAGCACAACCTCCTTTTCGTCCTGTAAGCTCTGCGAGAATTTCTCGGACGGAAAGGCCCCGGGTTTAGGTAAAGCCGTGAGCCCGGTAGGCTGTTATGAGATGGTCTGTGGGGTTGATGCCGGCTTCCAGGCCCACACAGCAAGCTTCCTGACCATCACACAAGTGACAGAAACCACGAATCATTTTCTGTTTATACAGCTGATCTGCTTTCAACTCCATTCGGCGCACAGTCTGCATCATCCTGTAGTATTTGAGCCCATCCTCCCTGGTGAGCACTGTTGTGACAGGAGGGCCTTCTTCCAGTCGGTGAAGGTCACATTTCTTAATTTCAAATGTAGCATCATTTGCAAAATTACGGGATGCTACCAGCACTCTGCTTGCCGGCTTCTGAGAAGCGCCGGACAACACGCGGGAGACGGCAGCGAGCATCTTCCTCATGAAGCACAGGCACTGGCGGCAGCGGCGACTCCTCCTAGCTTCTTAAGTTGAAGACTTAGATCATTAGTTTGAGATCATTCTATATTTCTAGCATAAACATTTAATGCTATAGATTTTCCTCTAGGCACTATTTTAGCTTCATTCCGCAAATTTATCTTCATTCTCATCAATTTCATTCGGTTCAAAATATTTTATCGTCTACTCCAGACTTTTTCTTTAACCTGTGTCTGTTTAGAAGTATGCTATTTAATTTGCAAATATTTTGGTACTTTTCCAATATCTTTTTAGTTTTGATTTCCACTATGATCGTATAAGATATTTTGTATTATTTCTATTTTTAAAATGTGTTATAGTTTGCTATAAGAGCCATGATATAGCTCATCTAGGTTATTATTTATGTGGATTTAATAAGAATATGTATTAGCTGTTGCTAGATATAGCGTTCAACAAATATCAATTACATAAAATTATTTGATAGTGTTGTTCAGATCTTGTATATCCGTGCTGGTCTCCTATCTACTTATTTGTTGATAATTCAAAGAAGAGTGCTAAAGTCTCCAAGTATATTCGTGAATTTGTCTATTTCTATTCCTTTAAGTCTTATTATTTATCCTTCTTTTGAGAATTTCTCGTATTTTTCTAGTTATTTATTTTTCTAATAATTTTGGGTTATATCCTGGATATTTTAAATATTACCTTGAGAGACTCTGGGTGCCGTTAAAACCTTCTGTTGAATGTCAAAGTTTTAATTTATCAAACCATCAACCCAGTTAGGTTAAAACTAAAAAATTATTTCTTGCCTTCTGTGTGTGGTATTTCCAATGTCAGCTATAGTTTCAAAGTCTTTGTCATATTGTTTTGGCTGTTTTGCACATATATCTCAGAGGTAATTCTGGGACTTGGGTGGTGGTTTATATTACAGTTCAATTCCCGAAGCCTTTACTATGCTGATTCATGTTAATGCCTATTACTCACACACACAGCTTAGGAGTGAGCCCAGGACTTGTGTCAGTTCGTATATAAAGTGGGGGTCATCTCCAGCTTTCTTCTTTCTGAGATTTCTCATAATACTCTCTAGTATCAGGGAGTTCTTTTCTCCTTAGAGTTTTTACTGCCTCATGTTCAGGTAAAGTATTTATCTCTATTATGGTCATTCTTCAAGTTTGACTCTCTCTTGAGTTTGTCTGCTATTGCTAACTTTTCAGAGTTTTCAGATAGTTGCCTTTTAAATATTGTCCAGTTTTTAGTTGAAATCACTGGGAGTGATAGGTATAATGGGCTTACTCTATTTCGGCCAGAATCATGAAGTGTAAACCTGGGTTTCAATAAATTACAATAACATATTGCACTTATCAAATAGATGACAGTCTGAGGATTTTTTTGTGACATGAATTGCTTAAAAAAAATGTATATGACATGTATCAAGAAGTTGGTCTCCAACATGATGTCTGTGTATGCTGACATTTAATAACTGTCTTAATGAAAGACTAGAGATGACTGCCACCTAGCAGGATGAATGAATGTATTTTTCATTATAAATAGGTCTTGATAATTAAAAGTAATCTACAAATAAATTAATAAAAATGTTTACATCACAGAAAACATTCTGTTAAAGGTTTAAGTATTAAGTTAATTTAAGAAAAAAGAAACCTAAAGTAGACTTTGACCTTCTCAGACACATATGTTATGTAAAATACATTTTATTTCAATTAAAGGCTATTTTCATTTTAATTGTCAATCATATCCTGGTAAACCTACACAATTATTGATCTTAATCGTGGAAGGCTTGAGATATTGATGATGCTGGATAATTTGTTTGCTTGCTGGCTTTGTAAGTGGTACCACCACGAAGCGGCACAATGTGCTTCTGACTTTGAAAGGTCACCACAGTTCTAGAATCTGTTGTTCTGCCTTATAAGCTTTAAATGTTTACATTATCAACACAGAAATAATGAATCCGTCTCTTGGGAACAGGGTTGCGTCAGCCAAGCTCAGAGTCTGATAAAGAAATCAGAATGATCAGTTTTCAATGAGAATAATAGCTGTCACAAGAATCAGAGTATTTCTAGTGGCTTGAATGACCCACCCTTTTCCTAAAGGCAGATCTAAAAAGGAACCACCACAATGAGCAGATGTGCAGTTATGCAGATGTGCAAGAGTATATTGACTTGAATATTTAGTAGTGGTATAGATAAATTCTTGCCCCCTTACCTAATAACTGTGAGATCTTGGGCACATCATTTTAACAATGTTGAGAGGGTGGTTTCTTGTTGTCCTTGAATTATTTAGAGATTAAAAAAGTGAGAAGTCCAGGATCTCACACTCTTAATCAAACAGTACAAATAATTGTGAGGAACAAATCCTACCACTGCTATCGTGAATTAACAGTATGCCCTACATGTGAAAAAAAAACTGCTAGCCATTTCCCTTCAAATATGAAACAAAAAAAGTGAGATATTTAGAAAAAAATTCGCTCTTCATTGTGCCCAACAACAAAGGAGACAGACCTTAGAAGAATGAAGCGTGGAAGACATAAAAAAGGAGGAAACACCAACCACCCCTCAACCCCGCCCCACAAATGTACACAAATAAACATGCAGATATAAACCATCATTAAACTCATACAGTTTGGTTTATGGTAGAGAGGGGGAGATTCCTGAATCTGGTATGAAACTGCTATTTCAGCCTGAACTGGACGATTTTAATAAGTAAAATTAACCAGCAAGGTTTAGAATCTGATTGATACATCATGAAAATACTTGCTACCTTTCAGAGTTGTGTTTGGGAAAATTAAACCAGTTCATGTTCATGCCTAAGAGAATTCTTAGTAAATGGCTACAATTTTCTAAGATGGGGAATAATTGTACGGTTTTGTTTTGTTTTGTTTTGTTTTTAAATATGGTTAAGGTGATAAGTCAATCAGGCTGGGATTAAAAAGCCCTTAGCCAAGTGCACAGTGTGTAGTAAGCTGTTACAGTATCCTCCCGTGCTGAGAATGTAGGTCCACCCACACACCCAGGACAGTGCTTGCTTAGATACTGCCAATAATTGTTTCAGACTCTCTCTCACACTCTATGTCTAACAAGAACAGCTTCCATTCTGAGTGACATATTTTCCTTTATGTATGCTAGTATCTTCAAAATATGGTCCACTCATAGAGACTATCTGTTACCCTTAGGTTGATTTCATATAACCTCATTGTAAGTTGATTATATATTTTAAATCCAAGAAAACAACCTTTTAAAAATCTTTCTCTTTTAACCAGGTCTAAGTGAATGAAAAAACCAGGGTATGTCAGCATAATGATGGTGTATATAATAAGGGCTATAAATAAATCAAGCTTACAAAATACTTTACATTTGTACAAATAATCACAAGAAAAGAAGGTATGGTAAAAAAACAAAATGTTACAGAAGTTCAGAGATGGAAGATATCACTTCTGGCCTCTGAGTTTCATAAATAAGTGACCTTTTGAATCAGATGTTAAAAGATGAGAAAGATTTTGCTAGGTAGAAATATGTATAAGTAAGACATTTCCTGCAAAGCAAGTGGCACAAAGCATAATAAAAATGGGAATGTTCAAGGACTGTTAAGGAGACAGAAACCAGATCAGTTAGGCATAGCGTACTTCTTGGTATTAAGTCTGGGACCAGATACATAAGGCCTTGAAAGCCAAGATGGGAAGTTTCCTTTTATTCGGAATTAAATTAAAGAACATTTAAAATTCGGGAGGAAATGTGGATATATATAGATAGAATGATAAAAGAAATTGACAACATGTTAATGTTTAGGAAGTCTAGGTGAAGGTTATATAGGATATTTTTTGTAAAATTCTTGCAAGTTTTCTGTAAGTCTAAAATTGTTTCAAAAAGTTTCAAAAGCTACATTTGTTTTAAAATACAAAGCTTCAAGGAATACAGTAGCACCATGAGAGCAATGTTTTAGGATGGCTGCGCAGAGCACATTTTGTTGGTAGAAATTTGAAAAGCACCACATGGTTATTATGAGATCCTGGAGGTAAAGTCATTGTAGCCCCAACTAGGGTGAAGATGAAGAATAAGTAACAAATGTGAGAAATGTAAGACAGGAAGAACCAATAGGGTTTGGGGACGTATTTGATATATAATATGAAGGCAGAAAAATTTAAAAGGGCTGTGAAGAATCCCAGACAGATATGTTTATGGACTTTATGGTGATGATGGTTTCACAGATATAGATTTATTCCCAAACATATCAAATTGTACACATTATATTTGATACACTGAATTATATATATTGTAGGTAGCTTTTTACATGTCAATGGAATCTCAATAAACTCAATAAAGTGTTGTGTTTTTTTTTTTAAGACTACGATACATTCACACACCAAAACTGATTTTCAGGTAGGTGATTAAAATAATTGTAATAATCATGAAGAAAAGTAAAGGTCAAAGCAATTAATACATGTGAAAAAAAGTAAACTGAGTTTTAGGTGACTATGGGACATCTGAGTTGAACAGGAGGAATAAAAAAACTTTATGGCATGGGTATTTATGGTATTAATGAGTATTTGCCAGAAACAGGGAAGTATTTTTAGAATAAAGAGAAGTGAGGACAGAACCTTGAAGACTGTCCATTTGATGGAGTAGAAGCACGGAAAGAAGTCAATGAATGTGACTGTGGTACTCAATGTCCTAAAAGGCCCTCAAGAATTCCTGTCTCCTGGTTTTCACACCTTCCTGTCATCTCCTCCCTTTGCACGCAGACAGGACATAGTAGTGGCTTATTTCTAGTTGATAGAAACAGCAAAAATGAGAAAATCTCACTTCTAAGAATAGGTCATAAGAGATTGTGTCTTCCATTTTTCTGGTATTCACTCTCTCTGCCTCTTCTCACATTATTGTCATGATGGAGAGGGACACTTGGCAAAGAAAAGAGGGCAGCCTCCAGCCAGCAACCAGAGGGGAACTGAGACCGCTGTCCAACAGGTCCTGTAGAATTCAATTATCCCAACAACCACATGAGTGAGCTTGGAAGCACATCCTTCCC